GGATAATTTGGGGGGGGGGGGCAAATACACCCCTTGCCCCCTAATCTTTGAAAGCTGAAATAATGAAAATTTTTCCTATATCTTGTAAATATATCTTATTTGGTATTTGTTATTTGTTATTGGGATTGACTATAGTTATTGTAATGCATATACTTCTTACCATTTGTAAACTTGGAATTTCTACCTTTTTACTATATTTAAACTATTTATATTTAGATTATTATGCTTTAGCAATACCTGTAATTTAAGGTCATGCCAATAAAGCTATTATAAATTGTAAATTGTAAAAATTCCCCCCCCCCCTTGGCGCCGCCACTGGTCAACAAGCTGTATTCAGTTATTAGGCAACTAGTAAAATTCCCATAGTGAGCCGCGCCGAGCTTAAAAAAAATTATGTATATTATATATCCTATATATAGATAATTTAGCTGGTATATATTTAAAGGAACTTTATAATTCACTTTCGCTCAGGAAAGTGTTTATCCTACAGGGCTAGAGGTATCTTAACAAACTGTATCTAGTTTCTAATCATTGCGCATGCAAGCAGCCAACTTATTGAAATACTAAACCCGAAACGTTGTATAAATAAAAATCATTGTATAATAAACGCAGTGAATTTCGTCAAGTTCAACATTATTCGTTCTTTATCAGGATTTTGGATATCTCACTCTGCATAACTAACTGATGAAGCGATTTTGTAGATGGAAATTTTTGAATGGAAGTTTTATAAGCTTATTAGACCTAAACTGAGCAGCCCTAAACTGAGCAGCAGTTGCGAAAAATGCAACTAGGCCTATATAGGCCCTCCAGCAGGAATCGAACCTGCTGCCCTGCGATATTGGTTCAGGACTCTAACCAACTGAGCTACAAAGAGACAGCTGCAGAACTCTAACCACAAGTTTATCCCTTCAACATGCAATTAAGGATATCGAGTAACAAGCCCAATATCCTGATATATACCCATTCATCGTGTATCAATTCAATTGGCAGTATTTGTGGATAAACTCGTGGTTAGATCTCGACAACTGTCTCTTTGTAGCTCAGTTGGATAGAGTGCTACACCGGAATCGCAGAGCCGGAAGCTCGATTTTTGCAAGAGGGCCGATAGTTGCATTTCTTGCAACTGCTCTTGGTTAAGCCTAATAAATTTATGAAAATTCCACTGGAATATTTCCATCTACAAATCCCTTCAACAATTAGTTCTATCAAGTGAGATGTCCAAATCCTGATGTTTTGCCATACACCACCACATTGCCATCACCTTAGCATTTATGCATAGACTTATTCATTCTTTTACTATCAGCTATAGCTGTTTTCATGAGTCGATGTACCAATTGAATGAAAAAACGAATGAAAGGCTGAACGAATGAAAGAAAAGTACAGTGGAATTTTTATGGCAATTATTTTCACTATCTTAAAATTTTCGCGCCATTTAACAAGCTGGCAAACGCGCCAGGGACTTGGGTTCTACAGGTTCTAAAAATCTGTTTTGGGGCACAAATGCGTGCATGAAAAACAACTATTACAGTATTACTCGATAATCACGTGGGCAGCAACAAACAACGTGGCAGCTACGGGATATTGAGAATTATCCAGGATTTGTTGACGAATTACAATAGAGAATAAAATTTGAATGTATAATAATATCACTTATTATATGCAAGGGCTAATATTTAAAATTTATTAAAACCATTTATTTAGAACAGGAAAGCCAACACAGAAAAAATTTAATATCTACCGGTATAGAAATGAGCAAGAATGCAGTTTTTGGCCGGATTTCGTATTTAGAGATTCGAAAAGACGTTCAATAACATCATATGTAGGGTCTATTTACCTGGATGACCAATAATAGACTTTAAAATTGAACATTTTAGCTCTCATTATGCATTGTCCGACATTTCTTTTTGAGCGCTGCACCGGAATCGCATGCAGGACCGCTGGTTCGATTCCGCATGCCCAAGGACGTAAAGCTTGCCTAAGGACGTATACAGATTCCTGCCAAACCTCGTATATGAGTTGCATTTTTCGCAGTACGCTTTTTCTGGTTAAGTCCAATAAATGCATATGAAATTTACATTCGACAATTTCTATCTTCAGGCTCTTCAGCTTGTACATAATTACTACAGAGTTTGGTTACTATTGAGTCGGATCAGGTTATTATTATGCCTGTAAAAAATAATACTACCTTGTTAATACATGCATGGATTATGGAATAGCAAAATGTCATCCAAACTAACATGACTTATAGTTCTAAACGTCCTACATTCTAGAATTATTTCCCCCTTGATATACAGGTATATCTGTATATATAAACATATGGAAAACATAGTCACAATAAAATATTGAAATTAGATTACAAGTGATGCGTACCTGATTGAGTATGTCTCTCTTCAGCATTTATTCTTTAGCTTGCTTTAATCGTATATACCATACCATCTATATTTTACCAATGCATCAATTTAAGAAAGAAACATAGCAATCGCGTAAGAAAGATCCGTGCGCATCAACATGTAGACTGGCGTCATGTCCCGACCGATCAGAATCCAGCTGACGTTGCCAGCAGAAGTGGGATCGTCCTTGAAGAGAACCGTCTTTGGTGGCATGGTCCAGACTGTTCTATATTTCTTAAATAACACACACACCTACAGGAACTATCTTTCACTTGTTCTTGAACACGTTCTGATGATAGAATAAATTACGGCATTTCTTCATGATTGCGCAGATGTATTTCATCATTGTAATTGAATTTAGTGTTTTTCATCGGTTTGGATATTTTGGACTGCAATTTGCTTGCGTAAGAAAACAGGAAAATAGGCATGCACGCAAATTCGTTATGGATACGCTGGATATATTTTTTAGGGAAGTGGAGCGGAAGCACTTCATTATTCATCCGAAGAAGAGAAAAATGACGCTGGAAAATATGATATGGAGAAACAAAAATCACAAATGGATAGAGAGGATAAAGTGAAGATAATTATAAAAATTTGTGTTTAAGAAATAGAAAACATTTTCCGTGCTTCTATAGAGTTATAGAAACACGCGTGGAAGTTTGGGACGAACGAGAAATTTATGTAAACCAACTATAAACAAAGTAAACAAAACTTGAATTTCTACTTAACAGACAGTTTGAATCAAATCAGTTTTACCTGGAAATTTATACTAAAACAATTAGTCGCCTCAGGCTCGTTGATTACAAGCCTATATTCACAATTTCGAGTTTCTCCCAAATTTCCACAAGTGTTTCTATAACTTATAGAAACACGGAAAATTTTTTTTCTATTTCCTTTATTAAATAGCCTTTTAAAAACACTAAAAAACATAAATTTATCGATTTTAATTACATTCATTCAAAGATTTATTTTGTTTTTTAATTTCCCGCGCAATCCACGCAACCCGCGTGAAAATCCTCGTGTTTCTATAGTTTTATAGAAACACGGGTTTTTTGAGCTCTCGACCAATCAACGCCCGTGTTTTTAAAAGGTATTTTATAACTAGGAGTTACTATCGCAAGGAAAAGTGCTGCCGTTGCGCTCAAACTTTAAAATTCCGGCAGGGTTATAGAATAGCTGTCCACTTTTGAAACAGTGACTTGTTATCATGATACGATGATACGAAGTCAAAATAATCACGCAATGTAATGTAACCGAGTTTTTAAAAAGCCTGGGCAAGATACATTTTTTCGTAATACGATGACAAGAAGTGAAATGTGATATACCCGAGTATTCAGAAAGCACGCGTGTGACAGCCTTCGTGATACGATCATACGAAGTGAAAATTATTACCGATTGAGTTTACCACGTTTATATCTCGTTTTTTAATCGCAAGCTCAACATAATAATTAAAAATGCGATTCAGTGCGCATATTGTGTTTATGTCCCGTTCTTTAAAAAGCAACAGCACGCTAGTTAGGGTGAAGGTTTACTGTTAGGGTTAGTGTTACTATTAGTAATAGTATAGTAAACACTAACCCTAACAGTCTATTAGGGCTAGCATTCTGAACATTGCTTCCGTCATCGATGTGTGATCGCCACAAATACCAAATTACCCAACCACAACGGTGACAACGCATAAAACATTAGCACAATCTTGCATCCGTATGAAACGCTTTTGTAAAAATCTTTCGATTCTTGAAGCACATGGAGATGCGTGCGCAATATAATATCTTGTTTACGTCCCTGAAGCTTAATTATTCTGACCGCTCCCCTCTTTTAACAAACGTCCCTGGAGCTTAATTATGCCCCCGGATACGACAAACATCTTTACAGACAGACAGACAGACACATTTCTCGATCTCGGCGATACATAACTCGCGCGAAAGACTGGGTCGGGTAGACTCTGGGGAAACCACCGCGTGTCAAGAATAGTGTGCTGCCTCGCTACGCTCGGCAGCAATTAAGAAATAGAAAACATTTTCCGTGTTTCTATAAAGTTATAGAAACACGCGTGAAAGTTTTGAGTAAAATTTGTGGGGTAAAATGTTTTTTTTAGTAAAAAGAAAGTGGAGTAAGAAAAATTTTTGGCTCTTTTCTCTTCTGCCCCAACCCCTGCATAAATACTGACCGTTTCCTTGGTGTTCGCCCTTCAACCCAGATTTTGACGCCAGTGATGACCTAAGAGGTCGGCCAAATTGAGGAACTTCAGACTCCGCCATGCTGTCCTTTACCCGGGTGTAAATGAGCGTGCGTGATTATTACTCTCGCCCCAGGCTAACGTCGGGTCGGCCCTTCGCGCCTTGCCTTGGGAACAAACAAATTTTGTGTGGTCAATAGCTGTGTGCACATTGGATATCTTTTTAGCGATATAGGCAGCATGTTGTTGTCACATTAGTAAGTTGAGAACAAAACAATAACAAAGTAGATATTCATGCATAATAATAGTAATACTAGAAATACATATAATGCAGCAACCCCTCGCCTTACTAACCAATTAATGCTATTAATGCAACTATATTTTTGGAACATGAAGGACTTCAAAGGCTGCCTGAGGTCACAGAGTATAAATCATACAGAGATGTATCTGTTGTACCCACTTTTTTTGTGCGCATGCTCGGCAAGTTACTAGATGCGTGCATCTGATTGGATGACGACCTGATGACGACTAAATTTAAACTTGCCAAGCATGCGCAGTTGATCATTTTTTGCCGATCGCATTGAAAAAAAAGCGGGTACGTGAAAATGCGAGTTTTTTCATATTGATTTACACCACTGAGTTATATCAATTACCAGTTATATCTCTGTATGATATATCCTCTGTGCTGAGGTTGTTGTCATGGCAACACGATCGGAAATTCATATTTCTGTATTTTTTTTGAAAACTGTCAAAATATCAGCGTTTATCTTTGTTTTATTGGCATTTTTTTTAATTTGGAGAACCATTTGTTATCCGTACGTTATTCGGATTAAAATAAACTTGAATTTGGTGCGAAATACTACATTTATTTGCATAAAACGTTTTAAATATTCAAGTCAGTCTTTGATATAAAACAATTTCCAGCCAATAATGTTCGCTCGTGTTCTTTTGGAGTAAAGTTTGTAAATATTTTGTGAAGTCTTGCCTTTAAAAAGATAAACTTATACTCTGGAATTGAGCCGTGAATAGATTAAATGCGGCTACGGCGACCTTTCATACAAATAGTGGACTGTAGATAGCAAATACGCAAAAACGTTCACTGCCGAGTGCCGACAATATATTGACGAACTTATCTTTTGTTTCAATCCGTAGTCGTTTGTACCCCTTTCTCAGCGTTTTATATCTTCTGAGAAGGATTTTCAAGTCTTACAGCGTAGATCTTGTCTTTGTTTTCGCCTTTCCAAAAGCTTTAAAAAGCTTCGGCTCTTCATGATAGTCCGCCATAATTTTGAGATCAGTGATGACCACCCTTACACCAAAATGGCGGCCGAGCAACTTTGGATTCCGCTATGCCGTGCGGAATTATTACCCTCGCCCCGGGCTAACGCCCGGACAGCGCTTCGCGCCGTGGCTCGGGGATTATAGTGTAAAACAACCATGTCGACAGACGAAAAAGGGAAAATACAACATCCAAGCCTTACGATAAACAAAACAGAAGGCATTGTCGAAAAGGGGAGTCCTGAGAAAAACGAAGGGCACAAAGATCCTTTAGTTAAAAGGTTGTAGCGTGACATCGATCTTGCGTAGCGTCGTCGAGTTAAAACGTCGTAGCGATCGAAGGCGACAACGAGATAACATGGTTGCGAAAGTATTTAGGCGAAGTGGCGCGGAAAGAGCAGCAAGAAAAATGGCGAAACCAAGACGATTGGTGGCTAAAGAATACCAAGCTCGGGGACGCCATGGTTAAGTAAGCAGCATGGCTCCTAACGGAAGAGAGTTGGAGTCGGAGTGCTCGAATGTAGAGTTCGCGTGTAAGATCATTCTCCAACATCGGTGTGCCCAGAAAAACTTGTTGAACACGCTCATGAGAGCACTCTGCACGGGGAAGTGGGTCTTACCATGACAAAGTTGCGAGAACAGTATCGGATCCCTCGTCTGAGTGGACTCGCCAAACGTTTGATGAGTTTGATCAACCGTTACGCAGGATTGAAACCATTTCAGGCAGTAGCCGTAGTATGTCCGCCGCCAGGACTGTTACCATGGAGCCGAACCGAAGGAATAATGGTGTAGTGTGATAGCAGTGTAAAGCCGTGCGCCTTGGTGTGGAGGCCAATTGGAACGGATAGTTGGTTTGGTCAAATGAGCTCTTCACAAGTCAATAGAACGTCGCTGTCTCCTTTGGAACCAATCAGAGGAAGTATTGATAGACGTTGAAACGGCCTTAAATGAAAGACCTCTTTGCTACGAAGAGGACGACATTCAGCAACCTATCTGACTCAATCCTGTTCAGCCAAACCAATCAACTACCAGAAATGAAATACCATCACTTGGAAAATTAAAGCTTGAGAAGGAGAGCGAAATACTTAGCCAAATTGAAGGAAGCGATCTGGTTGAGGTTGACGAAAGAGCACATTGACGGAACGTCATTGTGTAGCAAAGTTGTTATAATTCGTGGAGTTGAGAATAACCGCAATCAGTGGAAGTTGGGAATACTGCAAGAGTTTATCAAAGGAAAAGATGGAGTCATCACAGGAGATAAGTTTAAAGCTGGAAAAGGCCTCTTGGAGCAACCTGTCCAACATTTATATCCTCTACAACTGTCGCGTGATAAACCTGCGGAATTTGAACGGAAAATGGCCTTAAATCCTGAAGCATCGGTGGGAAAACTAAAAAGAGACGCTGCAGTCGCGGCAGGACTGAGAGTTAAAGGCATTGCCGAAAGTGAAAAACTGAAATGATAAGCAGCACAATTTGAACAACACAATAATTGATAAACAATTATTTTATGGTTTGCGTGTTTGGATTGTCATGATCCAAACACGTGGGTCTGTTGCGAGAGTTGAGAAAAGCGCGCGGAATCGCGAGTCGAAGGAAAACTTTCTTGACTCTGTGTGTCAAGAAAAATGGGCAAAATCACTTGTCTTCCTTGAATTATGTCAGGAAACAATTTGAAAAAAACTGTGAGTTTTCGCAGTTGTTTTCAAAGTGTTTGCGATAAAATTTAATCTTGCATAATCCTCGGATCAATGACAATACAAGTATATTACAGAAGATGTTCAATAAAGCAGAGTATAAGGATACATAGATATGCAACTCGGAATATTTCTTTTCCTATACGCTCTTTAATGCGCATGAGCAACTTTCTGACAAGTACACATGCATGCAAGATTTTTGTAAGGAATAACATAGGGGGAAAATTTTTTGCTAAAAATGATGTTGTAGTTCTTTTTCTGCCTGACAACTGCATGAGGGTCGAGTTTATTGAAGGTGGTTGAGTATACCACTTTTCGGTATTGTCGACCTTCTATATCTGTTGAATTGTATATTTGTTGGTAAATTTTATAAGCTGTTGGGTACAGATTTTTTTTGAAAGGTAGGACAATAACTGACAGTAAATTACTAACGTGCATGTACAACATTTTGACACCTGAAGGTCGAGTTTTATAATCTGCAGGCACAGATTCATTTTGACACCTGCACGCTACACGAAGGTCGAGTTTATTGAAACAGGTCGAGTATACCACTTTTCGGTATTAGAAAGCCAAAAACAATTAGATCGAGTTCCAAAAACACTTGACTTAGCATAATTCGGGGCAAAACAAGACAGCGAGGTTAAAGGTCGGTTCTCACTGGACATATAAGCATTAGCGCAAGCATAAGCATACACATACCTCATTTGCCAAAGCGAAGAAATAAACCAACATAAGCATAACATAAGCACGAGAAAGAACGCAAGGTCTTCATTTGCTTATGTTATGCTTATTCTTGCCCTTTTGCTTATGTTCAGTGAGAACCAGCTTTAAATTAAATGAGACAATTATGCAAAAATGCAAATCCTCGGCGTAGTAATGCTGTATATTGATCGCAAGCATTATGGGCTGATACACAAGCATGTTTTATTTAATAGGTTTAAAAGCACATTGAAGCATGTGACCAATCAAGACAAAATATAACCAAAAATACAAAATGGCCACTCGCTTTAAAATGAAAAAAACTCTTTCGGTATATTGAGCACAGACACCATGAACAAATGTCTAAAATGACGAAGATATTTCTACAGTAGTTGTAACAAAGAAAAACTACATATTTCAGTTTCCTGAATCGCTTTTAAATCGCCCGGTTGCAAACAAGGTCGAGTATACCAGAAAACGGATACGAAATATACCTGCTCCTCGAAGACCGCCATCTTGCATTACGTCATTGTAAGCAAAAGCTCGTCGCTGATTGGCTAGAAGTTAACAGTTAACAGGGTCATAGCATAGTATCTGCGAATTCGCAGATACAAAAATTATGAGTCCAATGTCAATTCAGTAAGCAGTAATTAAATCAGAATGCAAGCCAACCCAGCAACCCTACTCAAAATATATTATAAACCAATAAAACCATTTACCATCACAAGTTTTGACTGTATATATTTGAAGAAAATTAATTTAAGGATAATGGTAGCTCTTATATATTGGTATAAGAACTATATACATACATCAGGGTGGGTTACTTATGCACATTTGAACACACTAATTATCGAAGTGTTGTCACATGCATACCAAAATCTTGCAAACATAATACTTATGTGTTATATCATATTCTGAGCTAAGTCAATACAATTTTGTTGACATAAACATTTTAATATTAATTTATGTGTGTTTATACTGTGCTATGTCACATATTTAAATTTAAAAATGATACAATATACAATAGTGTATGCATAAAGACTAATTAATATACAATAATAATAATATAATAATAATAATCTGTTTAATTAATCACATTGCAGTCTCTACTGAATTACATGATTATAAGTAAATACATTAAAAATTAAATTTACAAATAAAATTGAGTTCAAACCGTTCAATGTTCGTTCTGAATAGTCAGTTTAAATCTGTCCACAAATTATAATTGGGTCCCTGAATTAATATACACGAGTACTACTAAATCAATAATACATTAATAATTATATTTGACAGTTATAAAATTTTGAAACCGTTCTGTGTTCGTTTGGAGTGACCAGCTTGATTCGGACCTAAGATTATAATTATGAGTATTTGGATGTATACGAGTTGCAACAACATCCTTAAGAGGATTTATAGGACCATTGTCAAGCTTCAATTTCCGAATAAATTGTTCACAGGAATTATGTCTACGCGTACTTAACTTTTTTAGACCAGTATAATTCAATGCGTCTTGATACGACATTTCGGGAAGCAAGATACGTAATGCTCTTCTCTGTATCGATTCGATAAGGTCAGACTGGCCTTGGGTCAGCGTTGACCACGCAGGTGAAGCGTACTCAATTCGGGACCGAATGAAGGAGGAATATATAGTGACAAGGTCTTTATCGCTTAACCCAGCCTTTTTTAACTTCCGCAATGCATAGAGTCTGGAATTTGCTTTTTTAATCACATAGTCGACATGATCACACCAAGATAGATCCTCTCTCAGTAGCACACCGAGCAGTTTAAAGGAGGATACTGATTGCACCGGCGAACCATCTATATAGATCGCATTATCAAGTGGAAGGTGGTATTGGAGGAAGGATATTGTCATCTCCTTACATTTCTTACTGTTAAGCTTCATTCCTCTACTTGAGGCATACTGAGATACATCATTTACGAGAATAGGTAGCAAGCTAGGAGAGCAACGTGGAACAATTTCTAGTGCAGTAGCATCGTCTACAAACTTTATCCGCCCATTCCAGTCCTGTAGGAGGGAATTGACCAAAATGGCAAAGAGAAGAGGGCCAAGTTTAGTTCCTTGAGGTAGGCCACCGTTAACGGGTTTCCATGAGGAAAAGGATGGTCCGATTTTAACACACTGTTCGCGGGAGGTAAGGAACGACTTTATCCATCTTATAATGGCAGGACTCACTTGTAATTTTAAAAGTTCATCAATAATGACATTATGGTCGACGAGATCAAAACCTTTTTTGAAATCAGCAAAAAAGATTCTTACAGAGCAGTGGCCTTGATCTAAAGCAGCATGAATCAAGTGGAGGAGATAAACGAGTGCCTGAGTGGTTGACTTTCCCGGAAGAGCAAATTGCTTTGGGTCCAATTTAAGACCCACTTCCGACATGAGGGACTGTAGCATAAATCCTTCCATCACTTTAGATACCTGAGCTGTGAGTGATATAGGTCTTAAATCGTCCTCAATAGTCTGAGGTGGTGACACTTTTGGAATGGGAACGACGATAGAACGTTTTAGCTGATCAGGGAAGACTCCCTGGAGCACTGATGTATTGTATATGTCCGTTATGATAGGGGCAAATTCAAAAGCGAAGGTTTTCAGGATCCTATTTGGGATACCGTCTGGGCCAGGAGACTTCGTCGTTTTAAGACGTCGCAACACTGAATAAACTTGCCCTATATTTACGAGTAGATGGTTGGGAACTTCTGTCTCCTGGTCATCGGTGCATTCTAACAAGGGTTTAAAATGCGAAGTAAGTCCAACAAGATATCCGTTATATGACTCAGCAAGGTCCTCACAGGTGGGGTTTACTTCAGAAAGTAGTTGATGTACCCAAGATTCCCGAGAAGAGAGGCCCCCTATGGATTTAACCTCTTTCCACCATCTGGAAGGGTTTGCACTTTTCAACTTCTGCACGGAATTGGCATAGTACTTTCTACGTGCCACTTTAACATCCCGTTGAACTCTATTGCGCCAAAATCTATATGCTTGTGAATTTCTTCCGTACTTATGAAGTGATTTTTGTCGCTTACTAATGGAGGACTTAAGCGATGACGTCATCCATGGTTTATCAGATTCCCTAACACTAGTTGGTTTATTGGGGAAAAAACAATCCATCATTGCAGAAACTACCTCATTAAATCTCCGGTACTTCATGTTAGGATCAGGTATTTCGAATATCTCCGTCCAATCGGTAGATGTAATAGTCTGACCAAAATGTCTTATACTGCTATCTCTTAAATCTCTTTTGCATACTCGTTTATTACACGAATTCTCCAGACGATCTTTATGGGGTTTTATTAAAATGGCATTATGGTCGCTCGAGCCAATAGGAGGAAGCTGGCTTACATCAAAAACGACTTTCTTGGCATTTGTGAGACACCAATCCAATATGGCGTTGTGACGTGTTGGGACATTAATAATTTGAGTTAAACCGGACAATCTTTTCAACCGTTTTTCATCAAATAATGTACTGACAGGGTTAAAATCCCCAGTCACAAAGACGAGACCATCAGGATGCAGATAAAGGAAGGATTCGACATTACGCTGGATATGGTTGTACAGTTCAAAGTTCTCGTTGGCGCCGGAGGAGGTGGTGTGGTAAATGACTGCAAGTAGAAGAGCGGATATAGATCTTGGTAAACGCTTAGGTCTAAGTAGTAACCATAGGGATTCAATGGCTGAATCCTCGAAATATCACCAATCTACCGGTAATTTCAGGGACAAATCCTACTAAAATACACGATTTCTATAAACAACTGAGATATAACGTTCAAAGTCTTGATACACTTGGCAAATTAGATGATGTGAGAGGAAATGTGCGAGCAACTTTGGACAAGTTAAAGGGAATAAAAGCAGACCTAGTACGCGGAAATGAAGGCTAGCAAGAATGGAGCTTTGATGATCTTCTAAAAGAGCTGAAAAAGTGGAAAGATATCAATCCGATCGAGGAAAAATCAGAGCAAAGAGATCAACTAAAAGGCGGGAAAGGTTCAAGATCGAAGTTTTTCCATGCAAAGGATTCGGGACGCGACACGCGAGAACGAGGTTGTGTGTACTGCGAGGATACCACGCACAAAGGCACGAACTGCCCAAAGGTTGTAACAAGAGAACAAAGGAAAAAAAATCTGGCGGAAAAGAGACTATGCTTCAATTGCACAGGAAGTCAACATCGTGCTGTCAACTGTAAAAGCAAACTCGGATGTCAGAAATGTAACAAGAAACACCATACTTCAATCTGTGAGCAATCAGAACAACTCTTAGTGGCTGGAGGTCATATGAACACGCGCGTTACGCACCCAGTGGTTATAGTCGAAGTTGAAGGTGTTAAGTGCAGAGCCCTGCTCGACACCGGGGCAGGCAGTTCCTACGCGTCGGCAGCACTGTTGGATCGCATTCCAAAGCGGCCGTCCAAGAAAGAAATACGAAAAATTGATATGATGCTCGGCGTGACTACGAGGGAAGTCGAACTGTCAACCATTGAAATCAAGGGAACATCGGGTAAATTTTCTATGAAAGTCGAAGTCACCAAGGTGAACAAAGGAGAACTTGTGTTCATAGACAATCCGAGATATCAGAACATGATAGAGCAAAACCCACACTTGAAAGGAGTCATCATGGAAGACATTGATCAGAAAGAGCGACTTCCGGTGCACATCATTCTCGGAGCAAGTGACTATGCGATGTTGAAAACTGATCAGCCACCCAGAGTTGGTCAACCGGGGCAACCGGTAGCTGAGTTGACACAGTTTGGATGGACCATCATGTCCCCTGGAAAAGAATCCTGCGACGCGACCAATATGCTTTTGACTCAGACATCCCAGGCTGATTACGAAGAACTGTGTCGCCTGGATGTCTTGGGTTTGAAAGATACACCCACCAACGACCAGCACAGTGTATTTGATGAGTTCAAAGAACAACTCACCCGGGACCCAGCTGGTTGGTACGAAACAGGGCTACCGTGGCGCGGCAACCATCCTGTATTACCCAACAACGAAGCTAATAGTTTGCGACGATTAGCAAGTTTAACGAACAGACTCGAGCGGCAAGGGTTGACAACCAAATACGGGGAGATAATGGAGGAACAAAAGGCAGAGGGGATAATTGAGAAAGCTGAACTGCGGAGCGTAGGAAGAGAATTCTACATCCCTCACAAAGCAGTTATTCGACCTGATGCAGAATCCACAAAAATCCGAGTCGTCTATGACGCTTCTGCAAAAGCACATGACGGTGTTCCATCGCTGAATGAGTGTCTACATCCGGGACCTCCATTGCAAAATAGAATGTGGGATGTGTTAGTTAGAGGACAGTTTCATCCAGTAGCTCTGACGGGTGACTTGCAAAAGGCCTTTTTGCAAGTACGTATTCGCGAAAACGACCGAGATGCGCTTCGATTTCACTGGCGGAAAGATCAGCAATCAGAACTAGAGACCTTGAGATTTACCAGGGCACTTTTCGGGCTTGTATCATCTCCCTTCTTGTTGGGGGGAGTCATTGATGCACACGTGAGTAACTGGGAAGAAAGAGAACCGGAAGTAGTAGCAAAACTGCGTGAAGAGTTGTACGTGGACGATTTGATAACGGGGTCAACATCAGTATCGAAAACGGAAGAAGTTAAAGAGAAAGCAACAACTATTTTCGAGGATGCGAGGCTTAAGCTTCACAAATGGCACTCGAATGAGCGTGAATTAGAGACGACACAGTCTCAAGACGGTGATCCTATCTATGCAAAACAGCAGTTAGGGACCCCAGAAGGGGGAGATAGTAGCTTGCTCGGACTTGCGTGGAATAAAGAACGAGATACAGTCGCTGTTACAATGCCCACTGAAAAGACGGTGTTCACCAAACGCCCCGTTTGGTGAACACTTGGCAAAGCTCGCCAGGATGTATGACCCTTCGGGCTTCGTATCTCCTTTAACGCTTACGGGTAAACTTATCTACCGTGCAGCATGTGACACCAAGAATGCCTGGGATGCACCACTTTCAGAAACCCTCGCAAAGTTGTGGAACAAGTGGAACAGTGAATTTCCAGTACAAGTGGAAACTGAGAGATCTTTGAGAGAGCTAATTGAAGCCATCCAACTGCATTCCTTTGGAGATACGAGCGGTAACGGGGTTGCGGCGTGTGTCTATGCTGTAGCTGAGCAAGATTCGGGGACCAACCAAGGCCTAGTCCGCGCGGCGAGATCAAGACTACCGAAGCGAGGATTAACGATTCCGAGGCTTGAACTGGTAGCGGCGCATATGGCAGTCAACTTGGCTTCAAATGTAAAGGAGGCATTGATCGGATTTCCGGTTACGAAAGTTCAATGTTGGTCGGACAGCTCGGTAGTTCTGCATTGGATTACGTGGGACGGGCAATTCGAAAGGATGATTGGGCTCGTGAAAGCAGCGTTAAGCAAGACCATTGGAAACGGTTTCCTGCGATGGAACGAGTTAGAGGAAGTATTGCTTGATGTCGAGGTGGCGGTAAATAACCGTCCATTATCTTACGTGGAGGATGACGTGCAATTTCCAGTGTTAACGCCAAGTTCGATGTTGTTTCTGAATAGTAATATTTTACCCGAATTGCAACCATATAATATTGAGGACGGTGACCTTAGGAAACGAGCGAAACACTTGATGAAATGCAAAGAAGCGCTTTGGAGACGGTGCACCCAGGAATATTTGCGTAGCCTTCGTGAGAGACATCGTTCGAGCAGTGCCAAGGGTAGGAGATGTAGTGATTATTGCAACAGACGAGAGAAAACGTGGTCGTTGGCCGTTAGGAATTGTCGAAGCACTGATTGTGGGAAAAGATGGAAAAATCAGGGGAACCAAAGTACGTACAGGAAAGTCTCAAATTGAGCTCTCGGTCGACAAGAAAGAACCAGTACCGGCAATACTCAACCCGAAAGCGGATACATTTAGACCGAAGCGGGATGCTGCAGTTAGCGGCCAAATTGCGTGTTCAGGAGATCGCGGAGGATGAACAATAGACTTAATTTCAAGTGAACATTTGGACACTGAACTGTGAACAGTCAGAACGATTTAGAAATATACTAAGGTTGACATTTAGTACAGTTATATCATTGGTCAATCTCCAGATGTATTGGACGACATTTATCTCAAATAGTAGAAAAATGGGGGAAGGGTGTTGGAGATTGTCAATATTTAACAGTTTATGGCATACCTGAAGTTAATTAATGCGCAAGTGTCAATCAAAAAGCATGCGGTTTGTACATTGCAAGAATTTGTGTGATTGTGTTGAGACGGGGCGAGAATAAATATAGTTTTCATAAAAGCGTTTGAAATCTCTACTTTTAGTGAGTTGTTGTGAATATAGGAGGCAATTCACGACAGTCTCAATAATTGGAAACTTACTTCAAAGTCGAAAGGTATCGTACAATGAAACTTTACAATGCGAGTATATTTGTAAAATAATGTCCAAGAATTTCTGTTCAGAATTTCCCGTGCAGGATTGTCTGATCCTGCACGGCTGTTGACCAATCAAATTGCGTGTTTCACTGTAGTTATTATATAAAGGCTCATTCGACTTCCTGCTCTCGTGCTATTACTTTGTTCACTCTTTGAGGACTGTACTCAGTACTCTTTATACAAAAAGTATAATAATAGTGGGTTTTAATATGCGTACTCGATCAAGTATTTGTCAATGTACAGTACGCTTTCTACGCGTAGTCGATCAAAAGTAAACGGCTGTACGCTTTCTAAGCATACTCAATCAAAAGTATTAAAACGGGCAAACGACTGTAGGCCTACGCTTTCTATTAAAGCGCACTCGATCAAAACTTAAACGGCTGAACCCATATTCGGTGTACTCGATCAAAACTAAACAACTGTACGCATATTTTGTCTGCTCCATTCAGTTTATATTCAAAATATCCATCACATTCCATCGGAATCGAAATACTCTACATCTACATGCGGCAGTCGGGCAGTGTGCCCGGCAGTCAGGGAATTTAGTCCTATTAAAATATTCTCTTAAAAAAATTAAACCAACCTCACAAAACCTTAACTCCTAATCCTAAGACCTAAGCTTAAAATCATACTCAAAAGTTCAAAAAAAAATTTTAACTTGAAAATAAAACTGTTGCTTAATACGGAACTCGAACCCGGGAGCCGTGCCTCGCAAGCGGGCGCCTAAACCACTGCGCCACAAGAAACACGCTCAGTTATCTTGTAAATAATGCAATTTATAGGAGTAAGATAAAATGTAAAATGTATTAAATCTTGACAGGATCTTGATGCGAATACACTGAATACGCAGATATTTTGCAAATCTTTAGCTCGAGCTAAAGTAAACACTTAGCAAGCGTCTTGTTTTTTAAATTACTTCGCCAATGAACTCATAAGATGGGTCATTTTTTAAGTACGATAAAACATTCGCATCCGATCTGTATCTGATATACAAACTCTCGCCTTCAGCTCAAGTTTGTATATCAGATACAGATCGGCTGCTCATGTTTTATCTGGTACATATAAATAAATAAATGAATACAGTAACATGCAGGGCCATCGAGTCTTTACTATAAAGAAAACAAAGAATATAAAACACATACCCTAGAAGTAGCTGATACATAATGAATATTATTATGACTCAAGTTAAGGAATGTCAACGTGGACGATGTTAACTGCTCCAAATCCAAGTGAACAAACTCATTGTGACTTAAATCCAACTAAAATAAAACATAGAAACTTTAAATTAACCAATCAAATTGAACCATGCAGGAGAGGAGGGGTATTTCTTTGTATATTTGAATCACGACCAAGGAAATCATATACGCAACTTTCGTTGCTAAGGTTTCCTTGACGAGACGTTGTATACAATAGTATAAGCCGTGTTACACGAGACAATTTTTGCTGCAACTTAAGCTTGCATCGGCGTTGCGCGTGCGACATCCCCACTTTGCAACATGTCTCGCAACGAAAAATTGCGAGGTAAGTTGAAATAGAAGTTGAACTTCAGTCAACTTTTCGCAACGTTGCGCAACAAATTGCTACGTGTAACATGCTTTTTGCAACTTGTCTCACAATTTGTAAGAAAATTTAGTCTGCAGCCAAATGGAGTTTAGAAGTGCTTACGTCACGTAAGCAAACAATGAAGTGTGTATTCCAGAAGTTTGTGTGACGTAAGCACTTCAAATATCCAACATGGAGCTAGGGTTAGGGCGAAAACTACTGCTGGGGAACACCGTGTTTAAACGTCCGCGTATTTACTGCTTGTATTCAGAAGACTGGAGAAAATAGCATTATCTTCGCGAAGCTCTAGCAAAAGGTTAAAGAAAATGACGAGTATTTAAACTTCGTCGTTTGCTTATAGTAAACGCTTTTCTTTGCGCCTATTTACTTTTCCCAGCGCATGCACTTTACGTTTGACCGCGCGGTGTTCTGTGTGGGCCCTGAACAGTTGCTAATGAAAATGGTGTCAAGTTTATTCAGTTCGTTCATTCAGTTTGAAGCTGCTGCAGAAGGAAATGTGAAAGAATATTCAAGTGACGCCTCAGAAGAAATGTGTCTCATTTAGCCATTCCGAAGTTGATGAGTGGCCTGGGGACGAGTGTTAAAAGTGCCCAAATTAAGAAATGAACCCAATAACTAAAAAGACCACCTCAAAATAAAAGACGTTTACATGAATACCCTTCGAATAATAAGCTTTCGAAAATTGTGAAATTACTGATTAAAAGATTGTTTTTGGGACGCGCGTCCCAAAAACAAGAATTACAATACATTTCATAGTAAATACCACAATTTTCGAAAGCTTATTATTCGAAGGGTATTCATGTAAACGTCTTCAAACTTTGTACACTTACTAATTTTGAGGTGGTCTTTTTAGTTATTGGGTTCATTTCTTAATTTGGGCACTTTTTAACACTCGTCTCCAGTCCTCTCATCAACTTCGGAATGGCTAATTGACTACGATGATATTAATAGGAAATTTCATTGTCTTGTTCTCGAAGCATTAAAATGACAAATCACACGTGTGTTTGGCGAAATATTTAAAATATCAAAAGTGCGTAACGCGGTCCGAAACCGGCCCGTCAAATTACATGCAGTATGTAGACGATATTTCAAAATGATATCTTACCTGTTCTAAAGAAGGTAAGAGCTTCAAGGAATGATCCAATGTTGAAATGTTATTATGACTCATGTTGATATGTGTGAGCAGAAACCATGGACGCACTACAACACTAAAATTGAAAGTATTTGCATTAGTCATATACCATGCAGTATATCTCGCAGCTCAATGTTTGAGAAAACCACTTGGAATTCATTGCACTGTGATGAAGAATGTGCAATATACTGCAAACATTCCTGTAAAATTTTCCCTCAATTGCCTTGCTCAAATCTTGATGGAACTTCTATTTTTTTGTTTGCATCGCTCTTTATTTTAAGAGGTTATCGGTAAGCAAAATTATCTCATAGAATATTGACATCTCACCGAGATGTATTAGATTTGTCGGTTTATTCATGTAACGTTGAGTCAATAGATGCAGGGTGCAATATATCGCGTACTTACGTACCGAAGGTACGCCGACATTACGGTCTGGTACTTCTTTGTTTTCAGCCAAGTACCACGTAGGTATACGCGAAACTCTGCTATATCTGTTACTTTAAGCTGGTAACATATATGACCTTTCTAATCCCAAGGTATTCAAAACCGTAATTTTGTCGGTATATATACAGTATGTAAGTATGACATGCCTTAGAATGAAGAATGGTTGGACTGATGGGACTAAGGAGTGTTGGAGTCGATTGTAGTGTTTGTTTATGCACTTGTACTCTTTTTCTAACTCCTAGTGTGTATGAATACCTTTCAGAAACTTGCACTTTATATACAAATTTATTATTAAGATTGAACTAGCGCAATTACGGGGCAATAATCAGTGGGGTACGAGGTATAGTGGGGTATAGGTACGACCAAAAATCTTCAATTATTGCAACCTGAAATGACGCTCAATTCTTGCTGGATCTCTAAGGAAAACAATTTAGGACTGATAAAGTTATCCAGTATAAACATTTTAATTAAAGCATGCAGTTATTACCGATTATCAGTAAGCTTTGTTGTCGACATGTTTCGCCAAGATTCCACATTACTTGCGGCTTGTTTAAGCTGGAAGGTTAAAAAGACAAATATTGATAATTACCTTTATTGACTATATTGGAATAAAACCAATTTATAGTCTCTACATTGCATTACACTAATATCGTATACACCCTTAATGCTCCACCTCCTCAGATAAGTCCCCTGTCGAATCCCACCCTTGTTAGACGAATAAATTTATTAAGTCTATACCTTCTTTAAATCCCACTGCCTCAAACAATACATGAGTACTGATTAGATTTATAATTAGTCATGGTATATATTGTACAGTATATACACTTAAAATACTCATTAATAATTCATAAACCTTGTGGCAAATCATGTCAGCCATAATATGTCACGTGGAATGACTTTATATCTGATAAAGCATGTGGCATTATATAATTGTTCATCCTAATTAGTATGATTATATAATGGTTCATCCTAATTAGTATTCTTTTGTAGTCGTATTTTAAAGGGTATTGCAAAAAAATATTTTATTGCTTCATCTGAAAGAGCATGAAAAAATAAGACGATTGGCCGTTTAATGCTCTATTCTATCTCTTCTAGAAGTATTTTCCCATACATCTCATCATGTACTATCTGACAGTGTATGCAAAATTTCATTTGATTTGAGCCAATAATAACTGAGCTATGCTTCAGTTTACTAATCAATAAACATACTTACCCAACCAATGACGTCACACGTTGTGCTGAATCAGCAATTTATATTTTACACATTTTTGCGTATAACTTCGGAACCAGATGAGATAGAATAGAGCAGTAAACGGCCAATCGGCTTATTTTTTCATGCTCTTTCAGATAAAGCAATAAAAATGTTTAAAACACTCGTTGTCGTGTTTTATCAGACATAAAACGCTCGGCTGCGCCTCGCGTTTTATATCTGATAAAACACTCCTGCTCGTGCTTTAAATAGTACATAAAGAATGTTTATGAAGCGAGAGATGAAATTTTACATTCCATGCACGAGGAGCCGAGGGAAAGGAAAAATTCCATCTTCCACAAATATTTTTACCATTGAATGCGCGAATGAAAACATTCACTATTTGTTTTTTTTAGTTGATTGCGTTTCTTACTTATAGTGATTGGCTAAATCAACAATCCCCCCTTTCTGTTTAACCCCCCCACCACTACCACCATCAAAAAAGAACGAAAACAAAAACAAACGCGCAATTGGCTTTTTCGCTAGATACTGATACACGAATCTGGTAATCTACTGTAGTTATCAATAATATGAAATCAATCAGTCTTGAAATGCACAATACATGTGTATACTACAATTATACGTTTAATTAACGACATTTTATCATACCGCACGTTTCTGCATAGCTGCGTCAACCAAGAACCCCTACGAAAATAGCAAAATTGATGATAATTCTTGGAGAATATTAAAATTCATCTCGTTTTATGGGCTTTGAGAAGCATCTGCCGTCTGGCATATGTTATATCTGCCGTCTGGCATATGTTATTAGAGCATGAGCTTAAGCAATGGACGTTTTTGTCATCACGGACGTCACCCGAAAATTGGTAGAGTATAACGACATTTTGCATCATAGCGCTCGTGCAAGGAAGAAAAAAACTCTAAAAATCTTATATTTTGTCATACAGTATGTGTTGAAACTGACACAAACACAGTTTTTAATCCAGCCCCCCCCCCTGTGTCATACAGTATGTGTTGAAACTGACACAAACACAGTTTTTAATCCAGCCCCCCCCCTGT